AGGATTGAAAGAATAATATAAAAAAATTCAATTTCTTTGTCAAAAATAATTGAATTTTGAAAGAGTTAAAATTAAAATTTTTCGACATTAGTTATATTTGCAAAGACTTAAAATTTTAATTTCAAAAATAATTGAAGTTTCGGTGAATTTTTTTTGCAAAATTTAAAAAGAAGTCTAATTTTAAAAAAAATTTTAATTCTAGTTTTTGAACAGAAACGAATTCTTGAAAGTAATTAAAAATAATTAAGTATTTGAAAAAATTGCAATTTCTAAAAAGTTTTTCAAAACGAATGTATGATATTTTGAAAAATTGTTCTTAAATCTTTTAAAAACAATCGAGTTTTTGAGGAATTTTATTCGAAAATTTTGTAAATATCTGAATTTTATAGAGTTAGAATAAAAATGTATTAAAACATATATATGTAATATTTTCGAAAAGGTTCTCTTAAATTTTTTACAATTTACCGAGTTTTTGAGGAATTTTATTTAAAAAATTTGTAAATAATTGAGTTTCACGAATAGCTAAAATTAAAGTTTATTTTTGATATTCAAGGAAAAAGTCAAAGTTCTATATTTGGAAATAAGGGGAAACTTAGAGAGCAACCAAATCAAATTTTTGTACTAACACTGAGAATTCTTTGTCAGTTTTGAAATCAGAATCACTGAAATTTTTTTAATTTTTCTACCACTGTAAATTTTGAAGTATGAAATTGCAACCAATAGATACACAAAAAATCACAAATTTGTTTTAAAATTTTAATTTCGATTTAATTTTTGTCAATTAATTGCATTTTAAAATATTTTTAAATAACTTTTTTGAAAAATAATGTTTGGTATCAAAAACTTAGAAGTGACTACAATATTATTTTAAATTAAGATGCCTTCTTTTTATTGTGTGAATCAAAAAAGTTGTCTTCTATACTTTGCTCCAAGTTTTCAAATCAAAAACAAAAATATATTTTAAGCTTATCATATTTTAGAATCCATGTTAAAATTGTTGACAATTTTGATTTGAATTTAGGAATCAGATTTAAAATTGTCTTCAATTTAGATTTTAGTATCAGTTTAAATTTTGCTTTGGACTTTGGAATGAGAATCCCGTTTGTTAAGTCAGATTCCTGAAACGTATTTAAAGAGAAGTTTCCTACCAAAGCGAATCGTTGTCTTGATTGAAAATTACTCCCAAAACACTGTAAAAAGAAGTGTGTTTTAATGCATTTAGCCTTCAAATTTTTATGCACTTTAAAGTGCATAAAACAGTAAAATACATTACATTTGTGACCAAAACGCATGAGGGTAATGCACTTCAAAGTGTGTTCAGATCTGGGACATCATTTATGCACTTGAAGTGCATTCCAGTAACACACTTCTTTTTACAGTGAAGGAATGAAAAATGTGAATTTCGATTGAAGGTGAGTCTCGATAATTGTTTAATTGGACGTTTTAATGTGTGATATTAAAGAGTCCCCCGGATGCGAGTTTCTTGCAAAAGAAAAAGAAGAAGAAGAAGAAGAAGAAACGACACATTGCCACGCGAAGGAAGAAGAAACGGTTAAGGCTAGTAGAGTGTTGTCAGGAGGATTGTACGGAAGAAATACCGTTCCCATAGAATGTTAATGCGATCTTCAGCAGCAATCCCGGCGCACTGGCTCCTGTTACTCAGCCGACACCGGCTTTACGGTCGCACGCACGATGCATTGTTGCGTAATCCCCCTTCCCTTCATTCCTCCCTCGTGATTATCAAGAGAGTCTCGAGTGGTATATACGCAGATGATTCGATGAACTCTCTTGCACTGCGAGTTCGCGTGCAAAGAAGTCTTGTGTCTCGCAAGGATTCTCCCTAGAGGCTTGTTCCCCTTTTTCCGGGATTTCTTCCGGTTTCGTCTCAGAGGCCAACATCACGATTCACTCTCTTTTTTTGTTCACGTTTCTTTTCTTTTCTCTTTTCTTATATTTAACCTCTCTCTTATACCATACTCTTTCATGGAAAGCGAAAAAGTCTTGTACACCACTTTTGATACGGTTCCGCCTGCGACCTCTTGACCCTGAATGGGTCAACGTCAGGTTACCGCCAGTCTCGTTCCGAAGTCACAGACTGCTGGCAGAGACCTTTTCCTCCATTATATATATACACACTCTGATCGTTTCTCTCGAGTAAGAAAACCAAGCACGTTTCCTTCACGATGAGAAGCGTGTCGGAAATCTTGACTTCCTTAAAATCGTCTCTTTTTTCGAATCATCATCTCGTTTCATTAATTTCACTTCGTTATGCAATTTTCAAAAAGTCAAATTTCAAAATAAGCCGATAGTACAAAGCTTTTCTACCAGCGTGAAAATGGAAGAATGGGTAAAAGATGGCAAAATATGGTACCAAGATTGACAAAATGTGTCAAAATATTGCTAATGACCGAAGCCCATGGTTAAAGAATGACAACAACAAATATTAATTTTTCATTAAATCAACTGAAATAAACACAAATCCTTTCAATTTTTTATTTTTAAACTATGGGCAAAGTATGGCAATACATGAGGAGAAGAATTTGATATCCTTAGAAAAATTGTGTACCTATACCAATTAAATAAACGAAAACTAATTTCCTATAACTCTTTATCGCTACCCTCAAATTTACGATCAATTCCAACCAACCGATCGATTATTAGACTAGACACAAAATTATGATTCGCCCTTTCACCTATTATACACTCTCGATACGAGATCTCTATGATTAAAATTGCAATTATCACCAATTTCAATAAAAAAACAAAAGTCGTGAATGATAAACAAACAATTCGCTACTACAGAAAAGATGTAAAAAACAAGGAAACTATTAAAAAAAATTTTTTCGGGAAAAATAACCTGTGACAGGAGTAAAAAAAAACCCGTCAGTTCTGGGGCGTTAAAAGGAATGCTACTGGTCCAATTAGCGCTCGAGGTAAAAAAAAAAGGAAAAGGAAAAAAAACCGACAAAAAAGGTGAGGCGTGTTTTTTATTTATCGTTCCTCTATGACGATGCTTGTGAGATGCAATGAGAGTCTCCTACCTGAACATTACACAGTGCATTGCGAATGTAAACTCATAAACAACATATGACACGGAAAGAGTATTATTTATAACCAACTATAAAGTGGGAGTTTTTGATACGCATAATTGCCTCTGTTACGCATCCAAAAACCAATAAGATAGCAAAACCAAACTCAAGTTTACGTTTCACATTATCCAATAAATCTATTTTTATGTGCATTAATAAACTTTTATTTCAAATAAAAAAAAAATCTTTACAATCTCATTCATTGCACGTTTTATCGCTGATATTAAAAAAAACTGCAAGTAAATGACATAAATTTTCTGTTAACTTGTAGGTTCTATTTTTTCCCCTACTTAACTACTCGAAAATCATTTTTTGTTTTTTCATAAAACAAATATTTTAATTTTTCAATTAGTTAATATTAATTAATTAATAGTTAATAAATATAATTATTAGTATTAATTTTTGAATAACTTAATACATTTTTTAATAATTTTAATTTTTGAATTAAATTCAAATGAACTAAGAATTAATTTTAATTTAATTAAGAATTGGTTTTAATTTAATTGAGAATTAATTTTAAATTAATTAAATACAAATTAATATTTAGAATTAATTAAGAAGCGTGGAAGAGTGAGGGATGAAAATTTAGAAGTCAAAATTGAAGAAAAGTGTTTTGTTGCGTCCGTTAAAAAAATTCAACTAACGACGATAATTTCCGCGCTTTTCCAGTATTTCTAAGTGAATGTGAAAAAACTGTTATTTCCTAAGTTGACTTGAGTTGGCTTCTTATCCACGCGACCGTAACAAATGAGTAGACGCTTTTCGTAAAGTGATGTAAATGTCACACATAAGGGTTTCTTGAGCACTCGTAGAATTTTGGCTTGTGAAATAACTTTTTCTTAACTAAATATGTTCTACAGGTATATACTCAGAATAGCATTTATTATATAGAGACAGTTTACACCGTAAGCCTTAAATATAAGCCTCCGCGCGCATAAACGGATATTCCTCCAAGAACATATATTTGCGCCTGCGCGAACACGTGGTCAAGGCAAACTCTTTCACAACACAGCTGCAGGCAAACACTTTGCGCAGACGCGAGTATATGCTCATGGAGGCATATCCGTTTATGCTCGCGGAGACTTATATTTAAGGCTTACGGTGTAAACTCCTTCATAGTAGATAATACAATTAATATAATAATTAATATAGTAATAAATAGAATAAAAATAATAATAGATGGATTCTGCACGTCAGTTCAACACACTTATTTTCATGACTTGTTGGGATTTGGCTGTACTTTTGTAAATTTATTACGTTTATAGTGATAATCAACTCCACCAAATATTTTTTCAAAATTTTGAAAATTACCAAAAATATGGCATTTTCAAAATTTTTGTCTTTTTTTTAAAGTGCTATAACTTTGGTTTTAATTAACCGATTTTGGATTTTTAAAAAATGATTTCTTTGGTTTTAAGTATATTTTAAGTTAAAATTAATATAAAAAAAAAAAATTCAAAAAAATTTTTTTTTTGAAATTTTGAAAAATTAAATATCCGTTTTTGAAAAAACATCATCTTTGATTTTTTTCAAAATTTTACTAAATGTTAGGGCAAAAAATATGCTTTCATCTTGGGATCTCAAAGGGATTCGGAGTAAAAAAATAAAACGTAACCACAAATTACGAACATATGGGGCAAAATTCCTCAACTGTCCAGGTAAAACAATGAATTTTCTCTAAACTTTGCTAAAATGTTACTATTATTAGTAGAAGTGTAAATATTAATTTTTTTTGAATTTGATAAAATATTTTTTGAGTTATGGAGTTTCAAAATTTTGATTTTTTTGAAAATATCTTTTTTTCGATTTAATATATTAAAAGAATAATTGATTTGTAATAATAATGAATATAATATAGAGATGGAGAGACAGAGAGGGAAAGAAAAGACACTAAATAAGCAAAACACTCACCGACAGAGAAATTCCCTCTCGCCAAGACAAAGCTCTAAACAATGTTGACGCGATGACGCACTAGCGGTTCTCTTCGTGTGACCCTGAAGCCGATGTCCTTGCACTCTATCGATGCACCATGCTCGTTCACATGGCTTCACTGCTAAACAACTCTTTTGGGCGTAGATAGTGAATACCGGAAACTGAGATTGTGACAGCGCACCTGCAATAGGAAAAGCAAAAGACCTCAGCTTATAAGTTCTTCTCTCCCCCGTTTTCTCTTGTAAAAATCATATAATGCAAAGTATGCATTTGTGTTCGTGATGCTTAACAAGGCGGAAGTTAACTCTAACAGTCTATTATTTTACCATCCGCAAAAGCATCGAGAGTGCGCAAATTTAATAAACTAGACGTATATTCTTCTGTTTTTTTATCAAGATATGAAGTTACCGAAAAAACGAGAAATTATTTTTATGCCTTATTAGTAATAAGAAAAAAGATGGATGAACAAAAACTTTTTTTTATTTGTGTATTTTAAAATAAACTCGAGGAGTTGGTATTGTTTTATATGCACTCTGAAATAACTTGGTGGAGAGAATTTCAAGAGGTTTATGGGTACAGTAAACCCTCGTTAAGTGACCGCTTCAGGACTGTAGATTCTGTAGATCTTCAATAACAATCTTCCGGATAATTCAAGTTGGATCTAGTGTTTGAATTCTCGAAAGAGATTATATATATATATATATATATATATATATATATATATATATATATATATATATATATATATATATATATATACATATATATTTAAAGTTTTCAGTTTGCCAATTATAAGAGAGAGTTTAAATATTTACGAAAGTATATTTATTTACATTTCTATTATGGTAGTTTTTATTATTTCATTTGTTATCGGTAACGAATTTTAGTTGGTAATTTATATCACGCTTGAGAATTTTTTATTTTTATACATTTAGGGATCTTTTATATACATAGTCAAGGAAAATTCATTAACTATGATGAATTGTTTGATCAAAAAAAAAATTTAACTAATTATTGCTATAACTATTAATTGCTGCAACTAATAGTTGTTTCAGTTCTTACAAGTTAAAATTAGTAGCAGATTTAGTTCTTAATAAAAATGTAGCTAACAGTTGTAGTTTTAATTATTAACAGTTGCTTTAATAATCAATATCTTTCAGTTTTAACTATAATGATAGATTAAATCATCAATAGTTGTAACGTTTAACCATAGTTTCAATTCTTAATAACGAAAATCTATTACAGCATAGTTTAAACTATTTTTTCATCATAACATCAAAAGTACGCTCAATAATAATTCTTTTTTTCTTTTTGGACCAAAAATAAAAAAAGCAATAAAAAGAACCATCACTAAAACTAGAGACATTTTTTTTAATGAGCTGTATAATAAGTTCTATCCTATGAAAAAAATGAAAAGTAATTTTAAATACAATAAAAAAGGGTCTTAAACTATTAGAGCATCTACTTTTTCACATCGTAATATTCAGTAATAACGTTGCCCTCGTAATATCTAAAAGGCTACCACGTCGTATTATCTTTTATAGTCTTAGGCACATATATATATATATATATACCTTCTGGTCCTCCCACTATTTCAATGGTGCGGTGACTTGTAAATTTTCTGAACTCACCTCGTCATTCTCTTTTAAAAATTCACGTCAAAAATTCTCCAACTCTGTGTCGTCGTTAATTTACAATCTTAAAATGTACATAAAAGAAAAATTAATAAACGATATAATGTGGTTTGCATATGTGTTCGCGCTCATAAGCGCAACAACAACATGTGACGAGCGTTTAATTGTGGGTGGTCGTTACAGTGACTTAACTCGCCGTGTAAAGTCACAGTTTTTCAACTAGCTTTTTGCAAACGTTGCGTAATTATTTTTTGTCCCGTTTATTATCTTTTGAATGAAAGCATATCTAATAAATTGCGATAGAAAATAATAATATACGCTCTTTATTTAAAGAAAGAATTTATATAGTTGACAGTTTGCATTTGACAGAGGAGTATTTCTTATTTTAAAAACAGAAAAATTTCTCTTTCTTTTATTATTTTGCTCTATTCATACCATTGATTGTGTATGAAAAGAGGAGAAGATTATATTGATCAAGTATTCGCTTTTTTATTTTCATCTTCTCTTTCTCTTTTTTTTGGTTTTTTGCATATAATATGACGTTTCTGTCGATTTTACTCGTGGAACTAATATAACAGATAAGGTGAGTTTAGCATGTATACGAAGTCTGAATAAGAAGATCCTTGGACCTTAGCCAACGTTTTCAATCGCCCTTTGCACTCGACATTCAGGCACAGAGAGTGAGTGAGAGAGAGAGACTCTTCTCTTTTCATCCACTCCGTCTTTTGCGTTTTCCACTACTCCGTTTTATGTAGACAGTGATGCAATTCCACGAATTGAATGCATTTCGTACTTTTAGCAATACTAGACTCCCCTTTTTCTCTTGCTATTTTCCTCTTCTTTAGCTATTTGACCTTTCGCTTTGCTTGGAAAATACATGTGCACGCCCCGTGTATTTTGCTTTATGTATAGTATACATTACTAGAAGTTCTCGACCTTCCTTTAAGTTCCTTTTACAATAATGTAACCTCCTGTCGTCTTATTGATACACATTAGAAAGTCGCCCCGTATGGGAATGTGTACTTTTTTATTTTGAAAACTTAACTGAATTATGAATAAATTGTGCTTGGAGAAAAAGCTTTACCTAGAACAACGATCATTTTCTCTTAGCGAAAGTTTTAACTGAAAAAACTAAGAATTTTACTAATACAGTGCATAAATTGTAATTGTTCCAGGTTAAACCTTTTTTTCGTGTACCAAAAACATTTTATCAAGAAAAAAATTAAGAACTAGTTGACAGAAATATTTATTGCTCGCAGTTAATAAATTGTTATCCATGTCAATATTTCCTGCAGGCTTCATTTTTTAAAGTAGTATGTTCAGTTATTAATAGTTTATATTTTCAATTCTTTATTGTTTTAACCATTTATTATAACTTCAATTTTCAATAGCTTTAGCTAATGGTAGCTTTAAGTATTAATAATTGTAATCAATGATTATCGCTTTTCCTTACAGTTGTTATAAAAATGGTAGCTTTAATTATTTATATTTAATCATTATTTAATAAATTGATGGATTTATAATGGATTTTTACAGGATTGATACAAAATTTAAGTTTTGTCTTTTCCTGACTTCCCTGACCTCTGCTGCAACCCTGTTTTTATAATTGTCACTCATGTCAGCCTTAATTATTATTAATTGATGCAACCAGTAGTTAAGGTTCTTATCAGCTGCAAGAAATAGTAGCAACAGTTACAATTAGTAGCAGTTATTGGTTAACTATCGCAGACAATGAAAGCATTAATAGTCTTAAATAATAGAAGCTTTTATTCATTATTACAAGATTAAAACCAGTGGTTGCTTCAATTCTTAATTTCAAGAGGGGCGCATGATTATTCCCCAAATGTCATTTTTGCGAAATGTCATTTTTGCGAACTGCACTTTTGCGAAAAGTCATTTTTCCGAAATGTCATTTTTGCGAAATGTCATTTTTGCGAAAAGTCATTTTTACGAAAAGTCATTTTTACGAATTGTCATTTTTGCGAAAAGCCATTCTTGCGAAATGTCATTTTTGCGAAAAGTCATTTTTACGAAAAGTCATTTTTACGAATTGTCATTTTTGCGAAAAGCCATTCTTGCGAAATGTCATTTTTGCGAAAAGCCGTTTTTGCGAAATGTCATTTTTGCGAAATGTCATTTTTACGAAAAGTCATATCAGCGAAAAGCAAATTTTGCGAAATGTCATTTTTACGAATTGTCATTTTTGCGAAATGTCACTTTTGCGAATCGCCATTTTTACGAATTGTCACTTTTGCGAATCGACATTTTTACGAAATGTCATTTTTACGAATTGTAATTTTTTCGAAATATCATTTTGCGAAAAGTAATTTTTGCGAAATGTCATTTTTACGAAAAGTTATTTTTGCGACAAGTCATTTTTGCGAAATGGCATTTTTACGAATTGTCATTGTTGCGAAAAGCCGTTTTTGCGAAATGTCATTTTTGCGAAATGTCATTTTTACGAAAAGCTATTTTTGCGAAATGTCATTTTTGCGAAATGTCATTTTTACGAATTGTCATTTTTGCGAAAAGTCATTTTTACGAAATGTCATTTTTGCGAAAAGTCAATTTTGCCAAATGTCATTTTTACGAATTGTCATTTTTGCGAAAAATACAATAGTGAATCTATATATACTACTAGTTTACTATTGTATTTTTCGCAAAAATGACATTTCGCAAAAGTGACAATTCGTAAAAATGACATTTCGCAAAATTGACTTTTCGCAAAAATGACATTTCGTAAAAATGACTTTTCGCAAAAATGACAATTCGTAAAAATGACATTTCGCAAAATTGACTTTTCGCTAAAATGACTTTTCGTAAAAATGGCTTTTCGCAAAAATGACATTTCGCAAAAACGGCTTTTCGCAACAATGACAATTCGTAAAAATGCCATTTCGCAAAAATGACTTTTCGCATAAATAACTTTTCGTAAAAATGACATTTCGCAAAAATGACTTTTCGCAAAAATGATATTTCGCAAAAATTACAATTCGTAAAAATGACATTTCGTAAGAATGTCGATTCGCAAAAGTGACAATTCGTAAAAATGGCGATTCGTAAAAGTGACATTTCGCAAAAATGACAATTCGTAAAAATGACATTTCGCAAAATTTGCTTTTCGCAAAAATGACTTTTCGTAAAAATGACTTTTCGCAAAAATGACAATTCGTAAAAATGACATTTCGCAAAATTGACTTTTTGCTGATATGACTTTTCGTAAAAATGACATTTCGCAAAAACGGCTTTTCGCAAAAATGACATTTCGCAAGAATGGCTTTTCGCAAAAATGACAATTCGTAAAAGTGACTTTTCGTAAAAATGACTTTTCGCAAAAATGACATTTCGCAAAAATGACATTTCGGAAAAATGACATTTCGCAAAAGTGCAGTTCGCAAAAATGACATTTCGCAAAATTGACATTTGGGGAATAATCATGCGCCCCATTTCAAGATCTTAACAAATGAGATTTTTGATTATAAATAGTTTCAATTATTATTAATAGCTATAATGATTAGTAGTTTTAATCAATAGAAGTTTCAATTTT